GAGTTCTCAGTCTCGGAGAATAACCTCACAGGAGACTTTCCGTCGAGCACCTTCACGTCCGGCTGCGACCTCGAGATCTTGGACCTCTCCGCAAACAAGCTCTCCGGGACGTTTCCAAGCTCGATCGCCAATTGCTCAAAGCTGACATCTTTGAACCTGTGGGGGAATGCATTCATCGGCGCAGTTCCCTCCGGCATCGGTTCGCTCTCGGAGCTCAACGCGCTCAACCTGGGGAAGAACTCGTTCGACCGGATCATCCCCGAGGAGTTGTTGAATTGCTCCAAGCTGGTGTTTCTCGACTTCAGCAAAAGCAACTTCGGCGGCGATGTCCAGGAAATCTTCGGCCGGTTCACGACGCTCGATTATCTAATCCTTCAAGGGAATCAATACACCGGGGGCATTGAGTCGTCGGGAATTCTCAAGCTTCCCAACCTCGTGAGATTAGACCTGAGCAAAAATAGTTTTTCCGGCGATATCCCGGTCGAGATCACGAGAATGCGGAAGCTCAAGATCTTAATTTTCGCCTACAACGACTTATCCGGCGTCATCCCGCCGGAATTCGGCAGCATGACCGGACTTCAGTTACTGGATCTTTCGCACAACAAGCTCACTGGATCGATCCCTGTGGAAATCGGGAATTTGACGTCCCTCCTCTGGCTCATGCTCGCGGACAACAACCTCACGGGCGAGATCCCGCCGGAGATGGGCAACTGCAGGAGCTTGATGTGGCTGAACCTTGCCAACAACCGGCTCTCCGGCAGGATCCCGCCAGAGATAGCGACGATCGGGATCGATCCGTTCCCGACGTTCGAGGCCAACCGCCGCGAGATCCTGGGAGGCATCGTCGGTTCCGGCGAATGTTTGGCCATGCAGCGATGGATCCCGGCGAACTATCCGCCGTTCAACTTCATCTACATGCTGATGACGAGGAAGACCTGCCGGGTTACTTGGGAACGCCTCCTGAAGGGTTACGGGATCTTCCCCATCTGCTCCAACTCCTCGTCCCGGGTCCGAACCCTGGCCATCTCCGGATATCTCCAGCTCTCCGGCAACCGACTATCGGGGGAAATCCCTTCGGAGATTGGGCGGATGAGGAACCTCAGCCTGATCACCGTCGACAACAACAGGCTCTCCGGCCACCTTCCGCCGGATATCGGCGGGCAGCCGCTCGCGGTCCTTAACGTCTCTGACAACTGGCTGTCCGGCGCGATCCCGGAGGAAATCGGCTCCCTGCAGTGTCTCTGGAGCCTGGATCTCTCCCGGAACAACCTCTCCGGCGAGCTTCCGGCGAGCCTGAACAGCCTCTATGAGCTGAACAAATTCAACGTCTCTTACAACCCCCTCCTCTCCGGCGTGGTTCCAAGGAGCGGCCAGATCTCCACCTTCGATGGCGATAGTTTCCTCGGGGACCCACTCATCAGCTTCGCCTCCTCGTCGGCCGACGGCGCCTCGCCGCCCGCCGGGAGCGGCCGCTCCATGCGGTGGCGCGGGCGTTGGAAGGTGGTGGCATTCTGGGTTTTCCTGGCGCTCTGCTCGGTCTTTGTCGCCTGCGGTACCCTCTTCTTCACGCTCATCAGGCTCGGGGGCGCCCGCGCGGCAGTGAATCCGTACGCGGATCAGGAACCCGACCCGGAGGGGCTCCTTCTTGGCGGCGTGAAGCGGCGGAGTGACGCTGTCGGGTCATCGACCCCGACGATGACCACGACCACGTCATTGGCAGAGGCGGCGTCGGGCTGCTCGTCGGCTGACGGGGCGGGTGTGAGGGTGTTCCGGCTGGACAGGGGAGTTGAAAGGACGGCGTTTACGTACGGGGACATTGTGGTGGCGACGGGAAACTTCGACGACGGTATGGTGGTGGGGCGGGGCGGCCACGGGGTTGTGTACCGCGGAGTGCTGCCGGACGGGAGGCTGGTGGCGGTGAAGAAGCTGCAGCGGAGGGGGAGGGAAAGTGGGGAGGAGGAGGACGAGGGGGAGAGAGAGTTTCGGGCGGAAATGGAGGTGATGGCCGGACGGTGCCACCCCAACCTGGTGGCGCTGCATGGGTGGTGCCTGGCGCGGTCGGCGCGGTTGCTGGTGTACGAGTACATGGAGGGGGGCAGTCTGGAGGAGGTGATCGAGGACTGGGGGCGGTTCGGCTGGGAGCGGCGTCTGGCGGCGGCGACCGGGGTGGCGCGGGCGCTGGCGTTCCTGCACCACGAGTGCATGCCCGCGGTGGTGCACCGGGACGTCAAGGCCAGCAACGTGATGCTGGACGCGCGGGGCCGGGCGCGGGTCACGGACTTCGGCCTCGCCCGCGCGATGGGGCCCGGAACGAGCCACGTCAGCACGGTGGTGGCGGGGACTGTCGGTTACGTGGCGCCAGAGTACGCTCGCACGTGGAGAGCGACCACGCGGGGGGACGTGTACAGCTACGGCGTCCTGGCCATGGAGCTGGCCACGGGCCGCAGGGCGGTCGACGACGGGGAGGAGTGCCTGGTGGAGCGGGTGAGGCGGGTGGCGACGGGGGAAGGGGGGCAGATGTTGGCAGAGGCGGCGGGGGAGGAGGAGGGTGCGGCGGAGATGCTAGGGTTGCTGATGGTGGGGCTGCGATGCACTGCGGAGGCACCGGGGGCGAGGCCGGACATGAGGGAGGTGCTGGCTATGCTGCTGAAGATAGCCGACAGGAGTGGTGACGGCGCAAGAGAGACCGGAAGTGAAGGAAGCCAAAGTAGCGCTTCTCCTCCTCATTGGTCGCTGCAGAGCCACAATACATCATCATCTTCTTCTTCCTCCGTGCAGAGTTATTGGGAAGGATTCTTTCGACAGCGTACAGAACGAGACGTTTAATGTACATAGACAGACGTCTTCTTTGACACAACATCGTTGTTTGATATATTCTTTTTTCTTCTTTCATTCCCGACACGAAAAATAATCGTATCATCGTTGGTTTGGTAATGTTATATATAGAGCTTGAGGTTTTTTTTTTTAAATATATATATATATATATATATGTCTTAAATGGAAAAAAATGGCCGTCACTTATTTTAGAAGGATATATAATTTTATCCATTAATCGCAAGTTTACCGGTGGAGCTCAATGCTTTTTGTCGGTGCTTATACAAAATCACTGGTCGCTGTTAAAACGCCATGTTGTTAATGTGCGTCCTGTGGTTTAATCGGATCCTGATATCAATCATTAAACGGATCCATCAGTTGACCGATAGTTCGATAACGCCAAGTTTGTGACCTTTCGGCGCACGTTATATATCACGCAACACATGACTTCCCACGTGATCCGAGACCGACGAGCCGGGAACACGAGGAATGTCCCAAACAGGACAAACGTACAGGGGCACATCACCATACGTTACTCGTAATTCCCAGCATAGATGATGGATATTTACGGAAGACGAAAACACCTTACGGAGATGCCACCGATGACCTCGCGATTGCCTAATATCTTCCTACAGGCTGCCAAATAAACATAAAACCTGATGTGGTCGTCCAACGACGAGCTGAGTCGTGACTCAGGTCGCGGTCGACTGATGTGGCAACTCAACAACCATGTCCTCGTCATTTCTTTCAAGCTGCGCTATAATTGCCGGTGCCAACCGTGCTAACTTGCGCGACTCGATCAACCGTTTAGATATCGAGCGATCAAGTCATGCGACTTGGCATGGCTGATGCGGTGTTCTTTATCTGGCCACGTAGGGTAATTAACGGTTCGGATCATACAACTTTTAGAGGAACACATCATACAAGTAAAATAAAGGAAAATAAATCGTAATGGCTAATGAATTGCATTGTTTGTGCAGGAGTTGAATGTCGATGATGTCCGGCATGATTGGTACACAAATGGGATCCACCTCGGGTATGATCATGGACAGCTTATATCAGTAGCAGTAGCAGTTGGTGAACTAGTTAAGAAAATGAGTTTGATGGTCTATTTTGATTCACATACAATCCCTGCAGAGATCAACAATGATCCTACACAATTCAGGACCTCATTTGTACCACAAATCTTGAATCTCTCTTACCTTCTCCGAGGATAATGATGGTGCGGGATGGGAGATGGAGCCCCTCTTCACCTGCAACAGCGCAAGGTCGCCTGATTAAAGGCTGGTTGCTTTCGCCCCAAGGTTGGCAGAGACAACCCTTAAATGATCTATGAGCCCTTCATGTACCAATGGAAATGACAGGTTGAGCTTTCCAAGCTGCCTCCTGCTCAGTGATTTTTTCCTTTTTTTCACTCTCTCTCTCTCTCTCTCTCTCTCTCTCTCTATGTATATATATAGTACATTTTAGAGAGAGAGAGAGAGAGAGAGGATGTTGTAGTTATAACATCTTTTAAGCATATTAAAGTCCATCCATGATTCCCCCAACTCCACAATGGGTTGAAGGTTGTCATGCACTGTGCATGACCCTAACTGAGCTAATTATAAATAATGTCTAAAAATCTTTTGGAATGTGGTCTGTGATCTCCAAAAGTTAACCCACCATGAAAGCTTTAACCAATCTAAATCACAATACTAAAGAATCTGAGTTGATAAAGGTTTGGTTTTTCTTTTGGGATCAAAAAAGGTTAGTCCACTTGACCCTATGTTTAACTCTTAATCAATCAAGCAACTTCCCAATTCCAACCACAGCCAAACCCCACACCAATCTGGACTTGTTATTAAGAGTAAAACCTCAGCCCCACACAAACAAGCGCTGTCATTATAGTTATAATCTGATACCACTTCAAATCTTTCTCACATATATATTTTTTTTGGGGGTGTATGAATGGCACATGGTTCATCTCATTCCCAGTCTGGTAATAATCCCCAAGTGGAGTGGCATTGCCAGTTTGCCACCAACTTTTGTTTAATCCCTGGGTGGCCCCACACCAGCCTACAATTCTAATTTGTCAATATCCACATACCCCATGGGAGTCAAAAAATAGTACAAAAAAAAATGGGTAGTGATGAGAAAAGATGGCTGGGTTTTGTAGATTTTAGGTCTGCTATTGTCCTTTTTTGCAGCGCAAGAAATAACATCATTCCTTTTAGTTCTCCAGTTTTTCTCAGCACCAGGAAACAAGGAAGGTGGGGGAGAGAAGGAGAATCCCAAACTCCAAATCTATTTATTACAAAGATATTATTGTGAGGAATTTTGAGGGGAAGGAGGGGTGGGGGGGTGGAAAAAAGGAGAGAGAATATTAAGACCAGAGGTTGACAAGTTTTCTGTCACTGTTGTTGGAAGGTCGTTCGATGTTGTGGAGATTTTCTTATCTGGGATCTCCCTCTCCTCCCGAGTTCCAACCTTTTCTTCTCTGTCCGAGTGCGTGCGCTTTGTGCCTTCCAATCTGATGGAGATCTGTAGCCTTTTTCTTCCTCCAATGGTCTTCCGTCACGGCTTCTAAATATTCTTTGCTGCCCTGTACCTCCTCGACTCTCTCTCTTTCTTTTCCGGAATCACGACGCCTTTGTAATTACGGAGGTAAATTTGCCTCGCGTCGCGCCGCGCCGTATCTTCTTGTTCATGTGGATTTCGGGTTTTGCTTGCTTGTTGGGTCGTTTACTATCGAATTATCGCGTCATGGCGAGATTTTTGGCTTGGGGATCGTTGTCTTCAGCTCGTCTGTTCTATGTCGAGCAGTTCATGCTTTTGTCAGCGATCGGTGTTTCTTTTTGGTATCGCTTGATGGTTCTGTGGATTGAGGATTTGCATTTTATGATGCTTGTTTTGGCCTTAGATGGAGATCTCCCTTTTTCTTCGTCTAGGATTTTGCTTGAATCTGTGTTCTCAATCTAGAAAATGTTGTGCTTAGATTATGATTCTAATCACAATGTGCAGTAGATTTTGCGTTATATTTTACAGCTGGGCTTAAATTATGCTATTTAGGGGTTGACTTTGAGTTGTAAAATCACGCGTCAAGTCTAGACTCTTGTTCCTTGTTTCTGTAAACAATATTCATGAAAAGCATGTTGCTTCTGATCTGTTACTTAACATTCGCCGCTTTCGTCCATGAATGGAGATTTCTATTTTATGCCAACACTAGATGCCTCACATTCCCCAGCACTAATAGCGTAGGGAAATTCCAAAATTGTTAATTCAGTATTAGGAGGTTGGTCCTTCAAGTTGACATTGTTCAAGGCTTCTTTTACTTTGATGTATAATGCGAACCAACCTTAATTAATGACTTGATGGGTAAATCTTGCTGACAATTTCTCTCTATCTCTGCCATATCGCAGCTGGTATATTCTATTGTTAGCCATACAATTATGTAAAGTTTTGGAAAACTACCTAGATATATCTTATACATTATTGAGATTCGGAACTGAAAGATGAACAGAGCCTCTGAATTGCCTTTTACATGTTATCTCATTCTCCTCAATCGTCATACTTTGTAGTATGTATGAATGTGCACTTGCACATTTCATAGTTTAAGCTATCTGTCAAACTACAAGGCGATCCTTTCTTTATGTGTATCAAAGGTCATGTCTGAATAACTCATGCGTGAACCACCTTTAATTGGCCATCATAGATTTTCCTTCATTAAAATTTTCCCAGGTTGTCTCTTAGATAACTTATTTCTTACAACTATGATTAGGAAGATGATCTTCACTTTGCACCTGCGTATATTCGCTGCGGTTATGTTTCAAATAGTTGTAATGTTGTAATTGTGAGTTCTGACAACAGGACCAACCATTTGGAGTTTCCTTGTTAAAATCCTGCATTACTTTTGCTTTTTCAGTCCCTAATCTGTCTGCTGGTTTCTAGCAATGCTGCTATTTTCAATTCTGAATATTGTAAAACTAATGCATAAACAAACTGTTATTGATAGCCTCATCAACAGATCCAGCATGAAAATATTGCTGATGACAATTTTCAGAAGATGGGTATGCTAATATATTCTTTAAATTTTATGCAAATTGAAACTGATTGAAATCAGTTGATATTTTTTTAATTGCATACTTTTCTGATTTCTACATAGTTTACAATCCTTTCACTTATTCATCTTTCCATATTCAATTATATGTTCAGCGTTGTGCATTTCTTACAAATAATTATCTTATGGTAGTTCTTTTGTAGGTAAATAGAAAATTAATCAGGTTTTATTGTTGTCCCAGGCATGAAATATATGAAACTTCTGAGCTTACAATGTAAACAGCAATATATTGTGTTAATTCTCTAGCAGCTGAGCCTATTGGCAGATTGTTATGCTGGACACTTTCTATTGCTAGTCTTCTTTAACTGGTAATTTGAATTGTTCTAAGAAAATTTATTGCTTATCTTTTATGTTTGTACCAACTTAATCCAGTATACGGCTGATGGTTTGCTTACTTGCGCTCTAGTCTTCAATATTTTTTGTTTTTTTAATATACTTATTTGAAACTTAGTTATGGAGAAGTAGTAGGCGTGAGATGCCATTATTAGTCTGAAGACCCTCTGCATTATATAGGTTAAGATGATAATGGTAGTGGTAGCAGTAATAACAAAAGTAGTAATATGTATGCTAACTAAATTAAGTTTGTCCATTAATATCACTTTGCTGCAGTACTCTATAGTAATATTTGTTGTGAAAATAGTGGTTGATCCTCTTGAAAAGCATCACTATGCCAAAATATCTGTTTAAAAATGTCCTGAAGATATTGTTTCAGCCTGTAAAAGAGCAGGTGAAATGAGTCCATAACAAACCAGTTCTCGATAATCTGAATTCAAGGCTATTAGTGAAACTCAACTACATTTAAATTGTCTGTTAGCTTTGTTTTTTCCTTGTCTATAATTTAATTAGTGCATAACCTACATAAATGTTAAGATCATGCTTTCCTATAGTAAACATATTATGTGAATATCTGAAAAGTAATGTAAGGGACATGTAGATAGTAAATATCAACAGATGCACAAATGCAGAGCTGATTTTGATGCAGTAGGTCAACAGAAGACTAACTTCTAGGGCTCTATAATACTTTCACTAAAGCTCAGGTTCTTCATTTAACATTTCACTTAGATGAATGAAGAAGATTTGGTGCCCATAATTTAGTAGAGTTCCGAATGAACATTTGACAGCTTGTAAGAGTGTCCAATAACTGAGTCAAGATTTCTGTTTATCATACTCTAAACTAAGAGGAGGAAGTGAGTCACCAATCAGATCTTTTTTTAATGCTTACTTGCTACGTTACTAAGTACTTTGCTTGCTGAAAACAACATTGAAAATCAGGAACACAAGTCATTAATCTCATCACATTTTTTCTTCAGTATCCAAGTTGTTTGTTCTAAAAATGACTTCAGTCTCTCTTCATGTTAAAGAGTGCTAAGAAGTATGGGACTCCCATAAGCTTATCTAATATTCTTTTCTATACTTGTATCAGTCATTTTTGTGTCTGCTAAGAAGCATTGTGCTCATGAATCTCACTACTGCAATAGAAGTAACTTGTAATTTGGAGATCCTCAATCAATAGAACTTAAGAAATGCATCTCTTAAGATCTTGTTATAATTACTTCTTTTGACCTGGAATTTTCTTAGGAATGGGAACAAAAGTGCAATGTAAAAGCTACCTCCCAGGATATCATCCAGCAAGGAATCTAATCAAGGACAGAAACTTTAGTTGGAATCCTTTTTGCGAGGATAAAGCCTTGAACGATCAACTATGCAATAATTTCAAGTCAAGGGGAGTCAGTAGCTGGTCAGACTATGACAAAGAAACGTTGAAGCAAACTATGATTGAACATGAAGCTATATTCCAGAAACAGGTTTGTTTTCAAATCAATGTAAAATTTTGATTATAACATTATACTGAATCCTCGATGCTATCTTTCTAGATGTTATACATGCACTGTGAGCAAATCACATGTAATAGAGACTACCATATGGCTTCCCATTGTATCTTCATGTCTCAAGTTATTGTCCATTAGACACCCTTTGAACCAAAGAAACTTGTTAAAAACTTCTGGTAGTTTGAAGTATACGATGCTTCTGTTCTCTTTCTGTTGAAGTTACTGCATTGGTCCTTCAGGATACGAGGATGTATTTTGCTAAGATACTGGTTGGTCCTTTTCAGGGCAGGAAAATGAACATTTATCATTTATCGTATTTTTTTCAGCAGAAACTGTTTTCTAACAGTCAAGTTGCACTTTTTAATCCAGGTTTATGAACTTCATCGACTTTATAGAATACAAAAGGAGTTAATGCATAAACTTAGGAATAAACAACCGGACAGATCTTCTGGACCAGCGGAGACATCTAAGTTGAGTATGTTTCTGTCTCAAATGCCTCCTGAATTTGGTGAAAAGATGTGGCATCTACCCCATCCTTCTCTAGCAAATACCAGTCACACTACAGCAAATGTCAGAGACAATGATGATGACAGAGTCTCAAACTTTCTGAAGGAAGGTGCAACACAGTGCAGTTCAACTAAAAGTGGAGGAAATTTGAAGGATGATGGACCGCATACTAAGTTTAAGACAATTCCTAAAAGAATGTTTGACCTTGATCTTCCTGCTGATGCTTACATTGAAAATGAAGATATAGAAAGAACAGAAGGGGAAAATGTCTCTGAGCCATGCATCATGACTGCTGAAACTCTTAAGAGGATTAGTGGAATTAAGGCTGATAACAATGTCAAGTTGACTCTTGGCAATGTTGAAATCCATGTCTCCGGTAAAGATATTTCAAAATCAGATTTGCATCCTAGAAATGGTCTATCCATTCACAGGTTGGCTGATCTGAATGAGCCTTTTAAAGATTCATTTGAGGAAGGTGCTATAAGTTTAGGTTCTTATAAATCCAGTGGCTTGAATTCGGACATTGAAGAACTTCAACAGCCATGGAACCTGACAAGATCAAAAAGTAATTCTCCACAAAGGAACCTTTTCATGGATAAACACATAAATGAAGTTAGCTTGAACTACCTCGACACAAACAAAGTTGAAAGGGGACGTCAATGGCTGTTATCACATGGTGATTCTGGTAAGTTAAATGGCTCATATTTATAATGATCTGGTAACTTGTTTATATTGATGCAATTTCTCAACCACAGATACCTTCTAAATCTCAGACCTCAAGATTATTCATGATTTTAGCTTGTTGGGACATATTGTTTGCTGTTCTCCTTGATGACTATAACCACAGGTCCTCTACCAAGTGATGTCATATGCACATAAATTTTTTATTACTCACTTTCCACTGCATCTCTAATTATTTTTGTATATTTTATTGGGTTTTAATGCTCCAGATGTTTTGTATATAATTCAAATTTTCAAAATATCTATTTTGTTATTCCCAGGTCAAAGCAAAATTGTTGTCAATTCCATCGATTCTGGCCTCTTTAGTGAGAAGTATCCAATGTCATCCGAGTCAATAAAGCTGAAACTTGATAAAGCTCGAGAAACTCAGTTGCCTGATCAGAATCAAGCAGAGATGTGGTTTGGAGATAAAACTACCCACTCCACTGAAATCTTTGGACGTCAAGATTATGTTACCTCGAACTATCCAGGATGCACATCTTCTCAAGTCAGCTCTGCATTGTCAGTTGTATCCCCTTTTCCCTGTGCAACTTCTGCATCTGCATTGACTCCTTGGAGGATGCCATCCAACAGTGTAAACCAGATTCCGATTGCAGTTCAAGCATTTCCATGCTTCAGTAGATCATCAACGTTGAATGGACAGGGCAAGAACTACAATGCAGCAAATCAAAGCAACAGGCCTGTTTGTGACAAAATAGATTTCAATGGTGATCTGCAGCCACATAAAAGACTTGATTATAAATCCTCCTCCCCTGTGAATGGTCGTCATCATGGTATCCAAATGTGTTCTACTTCAACAGGAATACACCGTTTACCATGTAATCTAGAGAAGCCAAACCTTGATGCTCGTTGCAATACTTCACCATACAAGAACTCCAAAATTCATGAACCACTTAAGTGCTCAAGGGACTTGCAGTTTATAGATATAAACTCTGGAAAGGATTTGAATCTGAACCAGGGAATCCTTGGTGGTATTCAATATGGCTTCACGAACAGACAAAGTTTTGCCAGAAAGCATGATGAATCATCAAACGATGTAATTTGGCTTAGAGAAAAGCCTTCTAGCAAAGGTTCTGCTGAATGTGACATGTTTGTCAAGGATTATACCTATCCTTCTAAATTTCTATCAGAAAAAGCCAAGGATAAAGGTTCTTCTGTTTGTGCCTTGAGGCATTCTTTGTCATCATTTGACATCAACGAAAGCATAACTTATAGAGCCATAACAACTGACATTTTGAATGTCGAAGGAAATTTTAGTCCACCAGATAACTCCCATAGGATTTTTGACTGCTCAAATTCTGTTTCATGTGATGGACAATTGTTTGTCAATGATCTGAAGAGGCATGGGAAAGGAAAGGCAATTAGAAACCCAGGCTTAAGAAATGACATCAATCTGAACTCTGATCTCATGCCTGCTGATGGTGTTAGGTTGTTTGGGATGTCAGCGGAAGATGAGAGACAGACTCCATCATCACTTTCTCTGGCAAGGGTTGCTGACAATCTAACTAGTAAAATTGATTTGGAAGCACCAACTGATGAAATGCAAGAAGCAAATAATTTTTCATGGGTTGAGATCGTAGATATGAATTGCCCAGTGACACAAGTTGCAATGAAACAAGAGAAGACATCCTTTGGGGATGCTTGTGCAAGACTGGCAGCAGATACTATTGTTTCCATCTCAGTGGATGTTCGTGATCATATGCAGCCCCTTTGCTCCTTTGCTCCTTCATCATTTGAATCCTTGTATCTGTTGGCAGAGGCGGTTAAGTCCAATGCAGAAATTGAGGCTTCAGATGATGATGGTGGATTAGATACTTTTGAGTCATTGACATTGAAGCTGGAAGAACTCAAGCCAGATGAGTACTCTTGCAAACCATGTCAACAGGAGAAGCTAAAGGATGATGAGAAGTCCATGGCCTCGCTGCTTCTTCCCAGGCCTCGTAGGGGCCAGGCAAGAAAAAGAAGGCAGAGGAGAGATTTCCAGAGAGATATCCTACCAGCACTTGTGTCATTGTCGAGGCATGAAGTGACTGAGGATCTTCAGGCTCTCGGTGGAATGATAAGAGCAGGTAAGTCCCGACAAACCAGTTCTGCTAGGAGGAGCACAAGCCAAAACATGTCAAGTTCTCGATCTAGGGGGAGGGGACGGCCAAGGAGTTTGGCCATCACCATTGCGGAGGTTTGTGATGACAGTCCCCCTCGGTTACAGCCTACTCATACCGATTTGGAAAATGATGGGAAGAATATTATGGCATGGGGAAGGACGACAAGGAGGTGTCATAGACAACGAATACCATTGGGTCATGCATTCGCTCCACAGGAGTAGTTCTTTAAGAAGTATACTTGTCAGGGTTGACGAAGTGATAGTTTTCTCAGTTAATCGCTAGAGTTAGACATCAGATGCATTGTACATGTTGGCTGTCGATTGAGCAAAGTACGATGTGCTTTTACTCGTTTGTAGATTTCATGCAATAATTGATGAACTATTTGTTCGAAAATAGAACTGTAAGAACCATCGGATTTAACGAACTCTTCGACTTCTCAAGTGTGTGATTGATATTTATCTTTATAAATGAAACATATTATATACCAGGGAAGAAGATGATCAATTCAGGATAAAGTTGTTTAAATTAGCTGATTTAGCCTCATGTTTTTGTCTCTTTCATATTTTTATGCCTCATGTTTAAAATAGCTGACTTCGCCTATGTTTTCTTCTCTTTCACATAGTTCATTGCAAGTATATCATTTTGTATAGGGTTTCAAACTTTGTTTCTTTCCAATTGCAAAATTCTACGGGATATTTCTTAGATGCTTTGTAAAATAATATGATTAAAATTGATTTATAAAGATTTAATGAGTGTATTATTATAAAAGTTTGGTAATCGTTTGAGTAAAAAAAGGATTATTCATGAAAAACATAAAAAAAAATAATTAATCACTATTTCTTCAATTGATTTTTTTATTTTTTTATTTTATTTTTCTCCTCTTCAATCGAACCAAAACGTAGAAATTTGGCTTAATCACCATTGCACGAGCAAACCAGAGTACAGGATTTCGGATCTGTTGGGGTCCTCTTTCTTTATGCGGGTCCCAATAGATCTTGTAGAGGTGTTGCGTAGGTGGCAAGTTCTTTCTGGATGCTGCTCGGATACCGACAGCTGATCTGATTTCAGCGCATTCCCGGTATATTAAATAGTCTCGTCATACGTGTTCCTCCCCGAGGCTGTAAGCTGCCTGTTTTTGCCATCCCGAGGAAGGAATCGAACTCATGGCAGCAACGGTGAAATCCCGCGAGTTCGACGTAATCATCCTTGGAGCCTCCGGATTCACCGGCAAATACGTCGTCCGCGAGGCCCTCAAGTTCCTCTCCTCCGCCTCGGGCCCCCTCAGGTCCCTCGCCCTCGCCCTCGCCGGCCGCTCCCCCTCCAAGCTGGCCGCAGCCCTTCAATGGGCCGCCGCCGCATCCCCCCCTCCGCCCCTCTCCCTCATCTCCGCCGACGTTTTCGACCCTACCTCCCTTCTCGCTCTATGTCGCAGCACCAGGATCATCCTCAACTGCGTCGGCCCTTTCCACTTCTACGGCGATCCCGTCGTCGCCGCCTGCGTCGAGGCCGGAACCGACTACCTCGATATCACAGGTGAGCCCGAGTTCATCGAGAGGACGGAGACCAGGTACCACGAGCGGGCCGAAAAGGCGGGATCTTTGGTGGTTTCGGCTTGCGGGTTCGACTCGGTTCTGGCGGAGCTGGGGCTCATGTTCCATTCCCGGCAGTGGGTGCCTCCGGCGGTGCCGAACCGGGTGGAAGCGTATTTGAGCGTGGAGTCGGAAAGGAGCATCGTGTTGAACATCGGAACGTACGAGTCTGCGGTTGTCGGCATGGCAAACGTGGGTCGGTTGCTGGATCTCAGGAGGTCGAGGCCGAAGAGTGCTCGGCCTGTGGTAAGCAACCTTCCTCGTTATAGATGTGATCTCTGACCTATAAATATTAGCTGAGAAAGGGGTTGTTTTCTTCTGAGCATGTCATGATTTGGTTTTTAACCCGTGTGATCTCAAATTCTTCTTCTCTGATTTGCATTTGTCGAACTGTCCAAGTGTTTAGCTTCAATCCACTGCACTAGATGAATGATGAATCCTTTTGGAGATCCTTGTCGCACCTGAAAACAGATTCTATGAACATGATAATATATTTTCTGTTCATTACAAAACACTTATCTTTGTGCTTCCACTTCCAAGTTGGTTCTAGTAATCTAGCAACATTCAATCTGTTCTCTGAACCCTGAAGCTGGAGTCTGTTCGTTCAATGCTCTAAAGAAATTTGAATTTATCTTCTTGATATCTGTAACCATGTTATTTCTCAATGTTCTGTTCAGATTGCAATGCTTGTCTCTCTATTTCATGCCCTCATTACAATCTTTTGATAATGAGGTCTTTTGATGCACAATGGTTGTTTGTGCTTTAGGATTTTGATGATGGCACTAGTTTGTTTCATTTCTTTGGTTCATCTTTGTGGTTAGTAACTTTAGACTACACATTTGCAGCAATTGTATTTGTGAAGAACATTCTGTCCACCTTTGGTGACAAGTTTGTTGATTGAATTAAAACCAAAATTTCTGCCCAAATGTTTGCTTTGTTTATTATTTTGATCAAACATGCAATAGACTTTGTGTAAAAATAACAGGCAGCAAAAACCTTGTAGATTTGAGCAGTATGATTTTGCCTTTGGTAGCACTGCTAAGATCCCACATTGCAGATTGTAGGCCCCCCACCTGCCAAAGGACCATTGATCGAACATAATAAGACGCTCGGGCTCTGGGCAATAAAGCTACCTTCCGTTGATGCTGCAGTTGTTCGAAGAACACATGCAATACTAGCAGAGCATCCTCATGGCCTTGCAGGCGTCAACGAAAGTGATGAGTGTGCAGAGAAGAGGAAGTTGTACTGGTCAACAGTGAAGCCTATCCATTTTGGTGTGAAGATTTGTGCCAAATCTATACTGGGCATTTTGCGGCTCATAGTAACTGGATTGTTCCTTGGGCTCTTTGGAATGTTTGCACTCGGGAGATCAATTCTGTTGAAATTTCCATCAGTTTTTTCTCTTGGGTGGTTTAGAAAGACTGGACCTACGGAGGAAGAGGTCAGAAGTGCTTCTTTCATTATGTGGTTCATCGGGCACGGCTATAGCGACGGCAACCTGGCTTCTCAAAGAGGTCGGAAACCAGACACAGAGGTAATTACCAGGGTATCTGGCCCTGAGGCGGGATATGTGACTACTCCAATCATCCTACTTCAATGTGCTCTTGTTGTATTGAGCGAGCGTGACAACTTACCAAAAGGTGGTGTTCTTCCACCCGGAATAGTCTTCAGCCACACCAATCTTCAACGGCGCCTCGAAGAAAATGGAATTTTTTTCGATGTCATCTCTGTGAAGCCTTCTTCACTGCATTGATTTCTCCGTTCCAGTTCTTGCAAACAAATGGAAGTAGTTTTGCTTTCTTTCTAGCCTGAGATCTGTATTCTTCCATGCTTTATAAGATACTGCTCTGCATCCAAACTTAGTTTTTTGAGATCGACTTTGCGGAAAATAATGAGAATCTTTGCTATTCTCAACAAGTGTTGTGCTATTATGAAATTAGTAGGGAAATTTGCAATTTGTTCTATTGCTCTAGTATGAATTTGCAACTGAAGTGGAATGCTTGGAGTATGAGTTCATAGTTGTTTGTTGCTACAGCATGGAGATGAATGCCTGAAAAGAAAAAGAACAATCTGCAACTGGTGAATACTGTTTGCTGTTCATATATGCAGCAAAGAAATAATAGCTGAGTTTGAACTCAGATTTATTATTTATGTTCATGCGAAGTTATTCTTCACATTATTTGGACCAATGAAACTAATTCTTACAATTATGATCTCAGGACTTCACTCGATGGTTTGCCGAAGCATAATCTATTTGCTTAATGAGAACGAGATATTTTTTGGCATCACAGCAAAACTCGAGGCTCTCATTCCTCGCGTCTTCGACTCCAATATGTTCAAACGCATAAATATGGCAGGCTTAAATCCCGCCCTTCATAAAAGCTCATCCGCATCTGACGGCTGGATCTGCTGCGGACGCGACGCGAGGATAGGGGCGAATTTAATCGAAACCCTAGGCCGCTGCTGGAATCCGGGCGGTCCTCCCTTTCGAGGCGTGCCGCTATTTAAGCCCTTCCGCTGCCCCTCGCCGCCACCACCGCTTCCCCGGCTTCTTCCCTGACGAGCGATACGGGTAGCAAACTCTAGTCACTTCGATCTCTTTTTTCGGGTTTTCGATCGCCCGATCTAAGTTTTTGCTTCTTTTGGATCGCTGGATCGGTCTAAATCTCGTTTCGTTTCTCCCTATACGGATATCGGAGTCAAGCAGCATGTCGGACGAGGAACATCATTTCGAGTCGAAGGCCGACGCTGGGGCTTCCAAGACCTATCCGCAGCAGGCCGGAACTATCCGTAAGAATGGGTACATCGTCATAAAGGCGAGGCCGTGCAAGGTTGATCTCGATCCGATCTGACCTAGTCTGTTTTATGTTCATTGGTTCCTGTTGCTTTGGTGAAAAATTTTGACTGTTTGATGGATTTCATCCTACGCTAATTGGTCAGGAGACGAGTTTTGTTGGGGCTTCCCCATTTTTAATGACATTTTGATTGATTTCCGAGTTTTGTACATTTCTGAGTAATTGTCGCAACCATTGATGTTTTTTATTTGCGTGGTTTATTTATAGATCTATTGAATCTTAGTTTATTGTATCTATTAGATAGATGTGGATCTTTATGTTTGTTGATGATAGGACTTCTGGGGGTCCTTCTCAGAGGAGTTGAGGTCTCATTAGGGCTAATGGTTTCATGCAAGTTACACTGTTTACAAGGAAGCCTTGTTTTGAGAGTCAACGCATAGTATACGATTCCAAAGCTTTGCATTTGGATCCGGTCCTGTAAATGAAGATCACTGAATGACAAACGTTGATTGCTTCAGCTACTTGTGCAGTAAGCAGTAGCATAATATGTTCTATTGCAATATTTCTTAGAAATATTTCTTGAACACATCTTGAATCAGCCAATCTTTTTTCCTGTATTTCATCTAATATTTTTTTATCATGTTCTTTAGTGTGAAAATAATAGAATAGTAGAAATGTTCTGGAACGTCTTTTAGTGGGGTTATCGCCCTGGCTTGGAGGTGCAAAAACAGCCCATCTGTGTGTCTTCTGTAAGTTTAGGCCATCAACCTCTTGATCCCAAAAGAGTTCTTAACTGTTGTTGGATGTGGGAACTTCTATTTATGTTCTTTTTTGCAAAAGTTTGTTTTAATTTTGTAATATTAGGTCATCCTTGCAATGAAAAGATGAAAGATTCGTTTTTGCATATCTGTGATATTTTGATGATAATGTTGGAATAATCATTTTTATTCTAGAATCTTTAAATAACCTCTAATAAATTTTCCATGATGATACATTTTCTTCACATTTTATCTCTCATTGATTTATTTAATATCTCAATTCTATAGACACTTCATGATAAGGAAAAATGCCTATCAAATGCTTTTTTCAATTTTTAATTAGCTTATAAAATAAATGTTATCAGGTTAACTTGATCTTTGCAGTTGTATCTTGAGTAGAATCCACTAATAGTTATCTCCCCCTGAATATTCATTTCACGCCTCACCTGTGTTCATGTGATCTTAGACATGGTGTTTAAGTTGACCATTAAAGTGGCCAAATGTATGTGCTTAGTATACTTCTTTATAACTTTGCCTATCAAAACTAAATGAAAGAAAAGGATCAATCTAATCTGCCAAAAATCGTTATTGCTTCTCAGTAAGTTGGAACAAGTGATTGCATGATATGTTTATTTAATTTAAGCATGTGGACCTTTTTTAATTTATGTGCCACTGTTTGATACAAATTCTGTAATTGCTCTACTAGGTTGTAGAAGTTTCAACCTCCAAAACTGGAAAGCATGGCCATGCAAAATGCCACTTTGTTGCCATTGATATATTCAATGGCAAGAAGCTTGAAGATATTGTTCCGTCATCTCACAACTGTGATGTAAGTTATTTTTTAGTTTCCGTGGGTGAATATATATGCGTCTAGTTACTCAACATTGTTTTTTCATTGGTTTTGCAGGTTCCCCATGTCACACGTACCGACTATCAACTTATTGACATCTCAGAGGATGGTTTTGTATGATCTGTAGATATGATGTTATTTTCATTTTTGGTTAGTTTATTGAACTTATATGTTTGACTCTGCCGCATGTGTCAGGTTAGTCTGTTGACTGAAAATGGTAACACAAAGGATGATCTGAGACTTCCCACTGATGAATCACTTCTTACTCAGGTTATTGCACTAGATGTATTTGCTTCTACTTATTGTGTGCATGCAACTGTCTTATCTTTTTTTTTCTTCTACTTAGTTATTAACTTTGTTTACATTTCTCATAGATTCTTAGAGTTGACTAGTGTGTAGCTCTGATTTGGTAAAGCAGGGAGATTATGGTGGACAGCTCAGTTGGCCTCTGTGTATCTCTCAGTCTCCTGCATCTTTTTTCCACCCTTGTCGATTTATAGTCAAACCATATGTCCTATACAAACTTGTAACTGTGTTAAAATTTGCAACTGTACCTTAGGAGGCAATTAACATGGGTAAAGAACAAATTTTGTTACATTTTGTATACTGTTTCTGGGCATCTTTGATCAATTGTCTATATGATTTGAGACATAAAAATAGAGAATATTTAAAATAAAAATCTATTAGATAAGGATAAAAAACATCAACCAATGAACTTCTTATTTAATTGACCCTTCTGTTCTATTAGGATGACTTGATACCTTAGGCATATGATATGATTTTGTTGTACTTGATGGTGGAAACATGTGGCCTTAGTATTTGCAATATATTTTTGGTGATTTTTTGCTCTGGAAAAATAAATATGTGGAACACACTTTTAGCAATGTATATAAAAAGGTTAATCAAACTTCAAATCGGTAAGTGTCTATGCTCGGACAACTGGGCTTAGTCATTTTTAGGACAGTTTTTTTGTGATTTGGTGTACTTCATAGGGATGTCTGAGGTATATGGCATAATAGCACAATAAGAAATAATTCTTGTTTTTCTTAAACTTTTTTCTCAGTCATGGTTCTGCAGTGATCTTTTGCTTCAGATTCTCCTAATTTTAATTTTTTTAAAAATGTATAGGTTAATGACAAATGTGTGCCACGTGCTAACTCTCTGAATAGTATATATACAATTATAGTTATGACAATAAACTTCTGGTGGGATATGAATTATATATGTGACATGGGTCCCCTTGAACTGGATGAGCAATCAGAAACAGTAGGATTTGTATTTATCTAGAACAGAGATCGGTGGGTGCGCCCACTATGATTGAGCTTGAAAATTGCTGCAAGTAGTGATTTAAGCAAAATGCTTGGTCTTTTTCAAGGTCAAGAATGTTCTCAGTGCAACCAGATTTATTTCAATGTATCATGTGTGCAACTTACGTGTCTATTCAGGTTTATTTCTGGAAATAGGCTAAACTTAGTTCACAGTTGAAGTATATCTCTACATTTTGCTTGATCACTAGAACTATGGTTTCCATTGTGGGTGTATACCAATGGTCTCTCTAGAATTCTCGGGGAGCATTGACGTTGATATCTAGTCAGTAGTCAATCGATCTAATCAGTAGTCAAGCGATCATTCCCTTAATATAAGTCTGCAGCACTTTCAATATTGAAAAGCCTTGTTTATATTAATTATCCTTTATTGCATGTTCCTGCAAGCTACTCACACCTATTGCTTCATTACTTTGTAAATCATTTGCAGTCTGTTCCTTCTTTGCGACACAAAGTGTGGTTTTTTTTAAAAACTAAGATGTGCTAATTTGAGTATCTCTATGGTTGGTGCAGCTTAAAGAAGGTTTCGGCGAAGGGAAGGACCTGGTGGTGACTGTCATGTCTGCAATGGGTGAAGAGCAGATTTGCGCATTGAAGGACATTGGTCCTAAGTAATCTGCCGCCTTTGGTTTTCGGGGCAGTGGATCTGTAAGAGCATTGTGGAGCCGTGTGTGAACTCAAGAAGATATATATGCCTATATATCATAAGACTTTAATCCGTTTGATCGGGCTGTTGCCCCCATAAACAAAAGTGCAACGAACGATAACTTGATATGGTGTTCCGCTATATTTGACTCGAGGACATGCTTTCTCCAACCGTATGCTGTCAAAAGCTGTACACATGTTTACAGTGTTGGCATTTATGTTAAATATCTCTCTTTATTCTTTGCCTTTTAATTGTTTGTCTTAGGATTGTTTTGGCATTGTCGTTTTGAATGATCTCATATAGTACGTATCCCATCATTGTCTTTTTCATCACATCAAAATGCTCTTCCGATTCATAGATATATCAACTATAGGTGGTATTGGCTCGTGAGATCAATTCCACCTTTATGGTTTGCCATGCTCACTTGTTTCTGTTAATGCACCTCGCTAGTCCAACTGTAGACATACTCTGGCTATGATGTGGAGATAAAATTACATTTATCCCTGGGTAAGGTAGCCGATTGGAGAGAAAATTACGGAGATCCGGTATTGGTCTCATGGACTAAGATTTGGAGTATTTAAGTTACTCTTTGGATGTAGATTGCAATTTGTCTATTTAGATTAAAGCCCAAATAATTGTTATTCTGGCATTATGTTGCCGCGATACCAAGTAAAAAAAATCGCAGGAGGCAAACTCCAGATAGTATTTCAATTCGTATATCGATCAAGTTTGCAAGCTATGGCCAATGTAAAAGTAATCGGATAAAAATATTACTCGAAATAGATGTGACCAAATCATGGGCTCATTCAATTTTGGATCTTCTCAGGATGGAAAGGCCTAAACCCAAAACGTCATAAAGCAAGACTAGTAGATTCGTGGGACAGTTCGAGAGCGCCGTTGGGGGCGGAGGGATGAGCACTCCGTCGCCTCCTCGGGCTCGTCGCGAAAGCGATGAGGACGGGGGCAAGGAGAGGGATCGGCCGAGGGTCTTCGACGCCAAGGCCAAGGCTCTGTGCTGGCAGAAGGCGGAGGTGGTGCTCGGCCGCCACCCCGAGCGGTGGCGCAAGGACCCCGCCGGCAACGTCGTATGCAAGCGCTTCTGGAATTGCCACGGATGCATCTGCTACGAGTACGACCACATCATCCCCTTCTCCAAAGGTGATCCTGATGCGTCGTCGGCAGTCTTCGAGGAAATTTCTATTTTGAGAGAGAGCTTGGTGAAAAGAGAGTTTGCCTTCTTCGGCAGTGGTTTTTTCGTGTTGCCATCAAAATCGTGTTTTGAGACTTGTCGTTTCTTGAACCTACTCTTCTTATAATTTGTTACCTTGATGTAGGTGGGGATACAACTGCGGAGAACTGCCAAATTCTGCAGACGAGAGTGAACAGGTTGAAGTCGGATAAGCAATTGGTGGACAAAGCAGAACTGGAAGGTTTCTCATGTGACGTCAAGTTCACCGGTGCTGTTTTCTTCCATCTACACGCAATTGTTTTGTTATCATGCTCCAAGAAGTTCCTTCAAAATCTATGTTTTTGTCGTGGATGATTTTTATGGTAACGAAAAATTCAAACTCGTTGAATTTTGATGATGACATAGTCGAACTCTTTTAGGTAACAATGATAATAGAATTTTCGGATATTATGACAAGAATAACTGAGTTTTTAAACAAAAGATGCCAAAAGTTACATGGATGGTGTGGAAGCATCTACCTTTAAGTAAAAGACCGAACGACTACAGTGAAAAAGTTACAGCCAGATACAGTTTTCATCTTCTTTTTATTTAGTTTGAAACATGCATGAGACTTTCGTATATCGAACGTATATCATATTTGATTAGTTATTGATAGATGTTAAAGGCTATCCCATTCAATTTATCCTTTATTTATCATAGATCTCTTCATCACTAATTTTTGTTAATTTTTCAATCCTTTCCACATTACTTTTGTAAGAGCAAGTTTGAAACACAGAAAAGCATATCTTTCAGATCAAAATTCTTTATTAAAACTATTATATATATTATATTGGTTGTTATTAGAAGGCTTCTTATATGATATTGGATCTGGCTGGTGCATAGAATCAAACTTGGATCAAGTACATCTTGCTGTTGGACGTATGGATTAATATTTGTTTTGTTGATCTATATTATATGTTGATTCACATGCCCATTCTCTTTGGTTGGTTAGCCTTTTTGATTTGCACTTATTATTGAATAGATAATTGGTCCTATCTGGACCCAATTTGAGGTACATTTACCTTCCTCTTTGTTGGTTGTTTGGACCATGCTTGTAAGGCCTTGTAGCTTGCAAACTTGTTAGCAAGTATGCCACCTGTTCTCTTGTTGTTTCTCTCTCTTGCTCTCTCTCTCTCTCTCTCTCTCTCTCTCTC